CTCTCTTTACTGTGTGGAGGTGTGCCTGGGGGTGCCCATGTTCCCTGACTGTGTGGAGGCATGAATGGGGCCCCTCTCTCTTTACTGTGTGGAGGCGTGCCTGGGGGCGCCCAGGTTCCCTGACAGTGTGGAGGCATGGCTAGGGACCAGGCTCGCTGACTGGGGAGGCGTGGCTGGGTGCTGGGCTCCCCGACTGGGCGGTGTGGCTGGCTCAGCCGTGCTCTAGCAACATGCCCCAGGAGCCAGCTGACCTCTCCAGGCCTCAGCTGCCTGAGGTCATTCTGTGGCAAATGGGGCCACATGTACGAGAGCCAGTGACAGAGGCTATGTGCCCAAAGACCCCGAGGACAGAAGGCGTGCAGGTGGGAGTGCAGTGCGGAGGGTCTGGTGGGCAGACACTCACCTGGTGCAGGCCTTGCACTCCTCGGTGGGGTAGGCCCCCAGGTGCAGCCTGCGGAGGTGGTCAATCTTGGGCTGGCCTGGTGCCCTGGGTGGGCAGAGAAGAAAATGTGAGGGAAGCTGTGGGCACCTCGGGCCTGAGCACTACAGGGCGCCTCCCTGCACACCAGGCGCCCCTAGGTCCAGTGTGTCCCCGAAGCCGTGTAGGGACCGATCACTCCATCAACAAACAGACCAGACACGGGTAGTTTAGTTAAATGAAGTCACACTACAGTAGGGTGGGCCTTGATCCAGTCACTGTCATCCTTTTGAGAAAGGCAACCTTGAGGGGAACCTTCCAGAAAGGAACATCTGTGCAGACGCCCTGAGGCAGGGGCGTGAAGCAGGGAGTCAGGTAGGTTTTAGGGGAGAATCTTCCAGAAGGGTAGCCCTGCAAAGCCCGGGAGGCAGGGGAGAAAGGAACAGCGAGCAGATGCCCCGAAGCACAGGAGAGAAGTGGGAGTCAGGTAGGTTGGAGAGAACCTTCTAGAAGGAACAGTGGCTCAAAGGCCCACGGCAGGGCAGCACCCACCTGGCGACAGCGTCGAGCTGCGAGGCGGCAGTGCTGCCCGGCAGGGTGGGCGCCCGGCCGAAGTGCAGCCACAGGGGCTGCTTGGGCTGCAGGCGGCTGATGAGGCCGTCGCTGACCGGCAGCCAGTCCAGGCTGGGGATGAGCAGCTGGCTGGGCAGCAGGCAGCACTCGTCCACGAGCGCCTCATCCGGCTCACTGCTGGGACCCTCGTCACGGCCTGCGGGGGCGGGCCAGAGCTCAGCGGCCTCCCGGCTCACAGGGCACCCGGTCCGGTCCCGCCTCTGCCGGGGAGACCCGGGGAAGTTCCCTCTACTCTGGCCTCAGCGCCTCCTCTGTAAACTGGGACCCATCCGTTCACTGAGAATCACTCAGAGCTCCGGGGATGCCAGTGGGCCAGGCCTGCGCCCTGACACGCAGAGCCTCACGACCAAGGCTGGGGCCCGGGAAACAGCAGGGTCTCAGCAGAGCCAGTCTGACCCAAGGGGGCTTATGTTGTGGTTCAGGGAGCGGCGAGCCAGCAGGCCTTGTGCTCTGCGGGAGACGGGGCACCTTACAGGGAGCGGAGAGCCAGCAGGCCTTGTGCTCTGGCGGGGACGGGGCACCTTACAGGGAGCGGCGAGCCAGCAGGCCTTGTGCTCTGGCGGGGGACGGGGGCATCTTACAGCAGATCCAGAGCTTGGTGAGCAGGCGGAAGAGCAGGGACATGCTGTCCTGGGTGTCTGAGGTGGCCGTGTACACGGGCAGGCAGCTGGGCTTCAGCAGGCCCCAGATACGAATGACGACCATGAGCTCCCGCAGAATGCCCAGTGAGCTGCCGTCCCGCAGGAAGCTGTGGCCGGGCCGCAGCGGGGCGCCCTGTGGGGTCGGGCAATGCGTTTTCAGACATGGCAGTGTCCTAAATCACACGACTGAGTCCTATGGCCGAGTCATGACTGTGGGATGCGGTCTCTTGAGGGTCAGGGGAATACTGTAACTCAGCGGTTAGGAAGGACTCTGCCTGCAGGGGACACATGTTAGTGTCTGGAGACGTCACTGGTTGTCACAACTGAGGGGTGCAACTGGATTTGAGTGGATGGAGGCTACAGATGCCGCTCAGCACCCTACAGTGCACAGGGCAGCCTCACCCCAGACAAGGATCCCGGTCCCGGGTCAGTGACATGGAGGTAAAGACCCCGATTAGGGCAAACGCGAACAGCAGCACACAGGAACCAGGCCTGCCTCCTGCGTCCAGGCGGGCGCAACCCGGAAGACAGGGTGCCCGAATTCCTGCAGAATAACTGACTGCTGCCCCGTCCTCAGATCGCAAGGGGAAGGAAGCTCCAGAATCCCCAGATTGGAGGGCAAGGCCTGAAAGGGGGCGTAGCCAGGAAGAGGGGCGTGGCTGGAGGCGCCACAGAGCGGTGGTGGGCGTGGCCATAGCAGGCTAGAAAGGGCAGTGGGCCGCACAGGATGGTGAAGTCAGGATGGGAAGTGGGCAGGGCCAGGATAGGGTGGGGCTGGAGGAGTAGGCGGAGCTGGAGGGCAGGTGGGGCAGCGCACCTGGTTGGGCAGGCTGGCCAGCAGGTAGAGGACGAAGTCGCCCACCCACTGCAGGAGCTGCTGCAGCGCCTGAAGCGTGTTCATGTCCAGGACAAACTCCTCTGTCTTCAGGTTGATCATCACCTTGTCAATGTCTGAGAGAAGTGAGCAGTCAGCAGACGGTTTGGGACTTCACATGTGTGCACACACATGTACACCCACGCACACTTGCAGGCCCAAAAGTCCTCGGCTCACACGGCTCACACACACGGCCTGCTGAGCAGGGGAGTTTAAAATCCCATTTCCGGGACCACATGGAAAGACGAGCCAGGGGGCGGGGCGGGGGCGGGGCAAGGAGGCGGGGCCCACCAACATCAGTGATCTTGGAGCAGATCTCAGTCAGCCGGTCACCAGGGCTCTTGTCTGGCGTGTTGAGGAAGTGGGGGCGCAGCAGTGACCTGAGCGTGGAGCTGATGGCGATGAGGAAGAGCTTGGCGTGGTAGTCGCACACGCGCGTCACCGTGCAGGGCGAGAGCTTGCAGAGCGAGGCCTTCATGGCCAGGATCCGCGTGGACAGCACCTGGTGAGGTGGACGGGAGAACGCCACGTGAATGAGCCAGCGGGGATGAACACCCCAGGGAGCGCAGAGTTGGTGCCCTGACACACGTGCACACACACGCGTGCACACGCACACAGGGAGCGCAGTTGGTGCCCTGACACACGTGCACACATGCACCTTCACATGTGTGCAGGAGAACCATAGAGATGGATAAGGTCAGACAAAAATCCCCACAAGCCTGCACACAGAGGGTGCCTCCCCTGAGGGCGGGCTGTAGGGCAGGCACCACACTGCAAACACACGCATGCACACGCACACAGGCGCACACGCACAGCCTCGTCACCTGCTGCAGCGAGGCGTTCTGGCGCGTGTACTCCTCGTGCAGCTTCTCTACCAGGCTCTGCACCATGCCAGGCTGCACGTGCAGCAGGATGTCCCACCAGTCGTAGCCGGTCACCATGCAGTACTCCAGCAGGAAGAGCAGGTGACGCAGGGCCAGGGTCATGTCCAGCGTGTGGCCCATGGAGGGCGAGATGCGCAGCATGTTCAGCTGGGGGAGGGGACACAGGTGAGGCCGAGGAGAGTGGGGTCCATGGGGGGACACGGGCGAGGCTGAGGAGAGTAGGGTCCGTGGGGGGACACAGGTGAACCTGAGGAGAGTGGGGTCCGTAGGGGGGACACGGGTGAGGCCGAGGAGAGTAGGGCTCCATGGGGGGACACAGGTGAGCCTGAGGAGAGTGGGGTCCATGGGGGAACACAGGTGAGGCTGAGGAGAGTGGGGTCCGTAGGGGGGACAAACAGGTGAGGCCTAGGAGAGTTGGGCTCCACGGGGGACAAACTAGTTAGGCTGAAGAGAGTGGGGTCCATGGGGGGACGTGGGTGAGGCCGAGGAGAGTGGTGTCCATGGGGGGACACACAGGTGAGGCCTAGGAGAGTTGGGCTCCTTGGGGGGGACACCAGTGAGGCTGAGTAGAGTGGGGTCCATGGGGGGGACACAGGTGAGCCTGAGGAGAGTGGGGTCCGTAGGGGGGACACAGGTGGAGAGTGGGGTCCATGGGGGGACATGGGTGAGGCCGAGGAGAGTGGGGTCTGCAGGGGACACACGGGTGAAGCCGAAGAGAGTAGGGCTCCGTGGAGGACACACGGGTGATGCCAAGGAGAGTGGGGTCCATAGGGGGACACTGGTGAGGGAACAGAGTGGGGTCCATGGGGGGCAGACCCAGGTGAGCCACAGAGAACTTGGCATTCTGGGGCACAAGGGGGTGTGGGCCCCACCCCCATGGGCACACAGTGGCCACGAGGTGCTAACTGCTGTCTCTCGGGACCTCCTCTCCTCCCTGCTGGGGGATGACAGAGGAGTGGGGTATGGCAGAGCTCTGCAGAGCCTGCCCAAGGCGAGCTGGCTGAGACCAGCCAGCACCAGGCCTGCACTGCGTGGTTCCTGGCTCTTCTCAAGTCCTGACCCCACACGTGTGGCCCCACCCACAGCAGCAAGGCCACCATGCCCAGGTGCCCAGGATGGAGAAAAAGAGAGCTGTGGTCCGAGGGAAGCCGGGGAAGGGGGCTTCCCTCATGCTCATGCTACACGAAAGCCCCAGCAGCAGCACACAGGCCGTGAGCGAGCAGGGGAGCAGGGCACAGGTGTGGTTTGTCTGTGTGAGCCAGGTCCCCTGGGCTAGCGAGAGTGCCTCTGGGAACAAGGAAGGAACATGCCTACCCAGCACCTAGCACATACCAGTCATTACGCTAGGAGCAGCTACTGTGCACCACAGACCACAGCAGAAACCACCCCGACAGACATGCCTCACAGAGCACCTACTGTGAGCTGCAGACCACACCAACAACCACCCCGACAGACATGCCTTACGGAGCACCTACTGTGTGCCACAGACCACACCAACAACCACCCCGACAGACATGCCTTACGGAGCACCTACTGTGCGCCGCAGACCACAGCAGCAACCACCCCGACAGACGTGCCTTACGTAGTAACTACTGTGCGCCACAGACCACAGCAGCAATCACCCCGGCAGACATTCCTTACAGAGCACCTACTGTGCACTGCAGACCACACCAGCAAGCACCCTGATGTCCACTCCCTACAGAGCACCTACCATGTGCCACAGTCCACACTACCACTTTTGCTGACCTTACCTCACGGTATTATTAATCCCATTTTACAGACGAGGAAACTTGGGCTGAGAGGGTGAGCACCTTGCTAATGAATGCAAGGGGGGGGGGTAATCCCCAGAGGTCCCGCCCTCGCTGGCGAGGCCGCTGACAACTGTGCGTGCTCGTCACCACCGGTCCCTGCCAGTGGCTGGCTCTGGAAGTGCCCAGCACAGTGCTTACCTTCCCGTAGTTGTCGATGCCCACAAGGGCCAGGGAGGTCCAGGAGAGCTGCATGGCCTTGAAGTGCACGGCGGGGCCCATGGTCCGCGGACGCTTGATGGCTGGCTCATCCACAGGCCGTGGGGCCGTGGAGCTATAGAAGACGGCCATGGTCTGCAGGGAGAGGCGGTGCACGATGTGGACACTGCCGTCGTGGAAGGCTAGGGCCAGCCCTGGGTGGGGGACACATAGGGGTCAGGGTGTAGAAGGGCCTAGAACCCGTCTAGTTGCCCAGCTCTAGATAATGGGAAGGCTGCCAAAATTGAGCAGACTGCTGCTGGGGGGCAAACACTCCGAACCAGCCCAGAGCCCAGCAGCTGGGGGTCCAGACAGCTCCACAGCCACCCTGTTGTCCTTTCCTCCTCGGTAACAGAGCCCTCGGAGCCAGGGGGCAGGTGACCCCACTTCAGGGGGCGTCCCCCATGCTGCTTTGCTGCTGACATGAGCAGACTTGCAGCATCCAGGGGGCAAGGTAGGGAGGGTGCTCCCAGCAGAGGGAATGGCACGTGCAAAGACCGCGGGGCACAGGGGCCCCTCAAGCGTGCAGGACTGTGGGGGAGCAGAGAGTGAGCGCCTGAGCGGCGTCTGTGGACAGCAGGGCCAGGGGCCTACGCCTCAACTGTCTCATGGAGTCTGATACCCTGCCACTAGCCGTGTGAGGGCTGTGTGGGAACAAGGCGGGCACAACTCAGGGTAGACACACAAGCCACCAAAGGGCCCCGGAGGTGGAGAGTGGAAACAAACGGGCTTTTCAAGAACCGTGTGCTCCCTTCTGCCTCCCTCCTGGTTCCACACTAGGGCCTATGGGCCCACCACGGGTTTCGTACATGTTTTTCCCAATCAACAGGGGACAACGAGAATGCCCTGAGTTAGGGCCCTCCCATCCATTAGGCCCCAGCTTCCCCACTCTGAGTGGTGAGCAGCATGCAGCACCAGATGGCAAGACTACTGCCTTGGGAATCTGAACCAAGACTGCTATCTCAGTCCCTGCATCGGGGACACTTCTGATCTGGAAGAGAATTCTGGCCCCGTGTTTCCAACCTCCCTCTTAGTGATCCACAACAGCTCTTTACATGTGAAAGACGCAACCTCGCTCAGTCAGCCTCAAAGCCCTGCAACCTTCTCAGGCCCTGAAAACAGGACCTGCTCCTTGTTGGGACGGCCCCAGGGGCCCCAGGCAGCATGGCCACTCCCAAGCCGTACCAAGGCCAGGGTAGAACTGAGTGTCGCTGGCCACGGTGAGGTCAGTGTTGGTGAGTGAGATGGGCAGCTTGGGCAGCGCCACGGCTGACACGCGGTCCAGGTCGTTGGTCGCCGACAGGATCCGCCACTTGAGGATCATGGGCTGCTTGTCGCCGACTGAAACCAGCACAAGAGCCGCGTGAGGCAAAGACGCAGCCTGGTGGCCCTCCCTGCCCTGGCCACTGGCCTCCCGGGCCCTGGCTGGGGGGAGGCCTGACCCTGGGGGCCCTGGCTGTGGGGAGGCCTGACCCTGGGGGCCCTGGCTGTGGGGAGGCCTGACTCTGGGAGCCCTGGCCCACTGACCTCGTGGGCCCTGGCTGTGGGGAGGCCTGACCCTGGGGGCCCTGGCTGTGGGGAGGCCTGACCCTGGCCCTGGCCCACTGACATCCCGGGCCCTAGCTGTCGGGAGGCCTGGCCCTGGCCCTGGCCCACTGACATCCCTGGCCCTAGCTGTGGGGAGGTCTGACCTTGGGGGCCCTGGCTGTGGGGAGGCATGGCCCTGGCCCTGGCCCTGGCCCACTGACATCCCAGGCCCTAGCTGTGGGGAAGCCTGACCTAGGGGGTAAGGCCTGAGGAAAGGACTTCTGGCCAAGACCTGGCCCAGAGCTGGGGGAAGAAAGGAGGGTGGCCAGGACCTGGGAGCAGACACTCGGAGGACAGGGCCACCTGCCTAGGTGAGGCTGTAGGGGGACCTAGGAGGAACATCCAGGTAGAGCTGGTGGGTGGTGGGAGCCAACATACAGGCTGCCTGTGCCCCAGGAGGCCACTGCCAGGCTGAGGGACATGGGGAGGACTCTGGCTGGCCCTAGAGCTGACATGGTCAGGTCCCACCAACCTCCTGGCCTCACTGGCCACATGGACCACCAGCTGCTTGCTAATGGAGCGCAAACTGGTGGGTGACAGACAACACCTGGGTGGGGAGGGGGCCAATGGCTGGGCCCCACCCCCATTTAATTACTCCATGGCCACAATGGGCCATTTACGTAACCGCCGCCCCCAACCTCTCCTCTGCACACAGCTTCATTAGCAGCCTTCCAACGTCCAACCACTCCAGAGTCCATTAGCACAGGCCAGCAAAAAGCCGGTGCTCTTGTCTGCTGGGGGACACAGCCATCTCCAGGGCAATGCCCATCTCCTGGAAACCACTGGGGCGCGGGCAGTGCCAGCAGGATCACCGCCCATTGCACTGCAGAGGGAGTGCTTTTACCGGCAGCACTGTCCGGCCATCTGCGGAGCTTTGACCACCTAGGATCCTGGGCCCCAGTGTGGTACAAGGCCACTCTGGGTGGGAGCTGACTGGCCCTGCGGGGGAAGGTTGGCCAGGGTGTGTCCTGGCAGTCACGTGCATGCCCTGGGCCTCAGTTTCCCCACTCCAACCAGGGTTTCCAGTGGATTCCACGGCTTTCAGGACAAAAACCACCCGCTGCTGGCCCTGCCCCACTCCCCCCACCCCACCCCGCCTCTGCACTCCTGCCGGTGCCCTTCCGTGTACTTTCCCCACAAGGACGCGCTGTGTGCAGGGGCGTTGGAGGTGGTCTGCCTGCCCGTCTGCCTGCCAGGTGCCTGATGAGAGGTGGGGTCTCTCTGAGCCCGTTCCCCTAGCGGTGGGACCAGAGAATAGCAGCTCCACCTCGGGCAGGATGAGGGTGGAAGGACTCCAGAGGGTCAGGCACCGGGAATGGCCCCCCGCTCACTGCGAGAGCTGTGATAAGCGTGGTGCGTTGGGTGGACTTCTCGACTAGGACTCACCCACGGGCGAGATCTGCTGGAAAATGTTGTTCACTGGGAGGCCTTCCTTCCGCAGGGACCAGCACTCCACGAGGCTATTGGTCTGGCTGGAAGCGCACAGCAGCACCTGTGGACGGCGGAGGCGGGGCACAGTGAGGGCGGAGCCGTGAAGGCGCGGCCAGGGTGGGGTTACGGGACGGGGCGGGGCGGCGGGGCGGCCGCTACCCGGGGTGAGGCCGGAGGCGGGCCGGGTGGGCGTGGCGAGACCACCGGCGCTCGTCCCAACGCCACCCGCGGCCGTGCCCTTCCAGCGGCTGGGGCTGTCCACCCGCCGCGGGCCGGGATCAGCAGCGCCCGCCTCCCAATCCCGCCCATGCAGGAATCTCACCGACAGCACCACCAGCCTCCTCGCTAAGGCCAGAGGTGGGGAAACAGTGGGGACCGGGTGTTGAGGCCGTATTGATTCTCTGCAGCGGAGGGAACCTATGACAGGCTACAGCAGCCTCCAAAGAGGGCGGGAACCTCACCCCAGTACCTGAGTGTGGGCTTGACCAGGCACATGGGTGAATGGTGGGTCCCCCAAAAACGCATGAAGGAGTTCTCACTCAGCTGGTGTCTGGAAATCGGGGTCTCTACAGATGTAATAAGGTAACACGAGGTCATACTGGAGCTGGGGGTTCCTAACCCAACATGCGAGGCATCCTTAGAAGACACACGGATGGGATGCCATGTGACAAGAGGCCGAGACTGCACTAATGCAGCCACAAGCCGGCAGAGGCCTTACCAATGCTGATTTTGGGTCCCTGGCTCCAGAATTGAGAGAGTAAGTTGTCTGCGGCTTTCCTGCCTCCCAGCTTGTGGGACTCTGCCAGGCCAGCCCTAGGACACTCGTCCACGTGGGAAAAGCCACACCGCAGATGGGTGACATGACGTGAGATGACCCTGGACCACCTGGTGGCCCACGTGGTCCTTGTGAGAGGGAGGCAGGGGGCTCAGAGTCAGGAGGTATGAGGATAGAAGCAGGACTGAGGAGCTTTGCCGACACAGCAAGGGGCCGCGGGCCAAGGAACGAAGGGCCTCTAGAAGCTGGGAAAGGCTGGAGACCATTCTGCCTGGAGCCTTTGGGGGGAAGCGGACACCCCGACATCAGCCTGGGAGGCTCGTCCTGGACTCCACCCAGGCCCGTGAGGCGCTAGGTCTGGGCAGCGTGGGTATTTGCTGCAGCAGCCCCAGGAGACACTGCTGGTCCCAAGCTGGCCTCCGCCGCCCGCTCACCTGTTCCGACATGTCGCGGGCCAGGAATTTGAGGTGGGTGATGGCGGGGAACTTGTCCTTGCGGTTGAGGTCGGTGGTACAACGCATGAAGAGCGAGGGCAGGATCTCGGTGTCGATGCGGCACTTCTCGCTGACCACGCTCACACACACCTTGTAGAACTGCACAGGGGAGGCACTACTGCCGTCCGCTGTGGCCACCACGATGTTGCCGCCGCCTGTGAAGGCGATGTCGGCCAGGGCCACGCGGCCGCGCAGCCGGCACAGGCTCTCGGTCGACGTCAGCACCTGCCCGCTGGGTTTGAGCAGGGACACGGTGACCAGGCCGCTGACCGTCACTGCGATCCAGCCCTCCATGGGCTTGCCACCAAACAGCGTGAGTGACGGCGAGAACTTGACACGGGAGAACTTCTCGCCGAAGCTGGAGGCACCCGACTACGGAGGAAGGGGGAGGGCAGGGGTGAGGGTCACCTTCCCACTGCCCACTGAGGCTGGTCCCAGCAGGGGAGCGTCAGAACCAAGCAGCCCACCAGCCTTTAAAACATCCGCCTTTTCTGGTGAGACCCATGAGACTATGGCCCCTAACTGTCCTTTAGGTCTGGAATGGCACTCACTCCTGTGGCTTCCAACCAAATAAAAGGCATATGACCTGAACGTTTCCATCAGGTAGATATACTCCCTGGAGCAATCACTCGTGGGAGAACAGAACGGCAGTGTTTGCACAGGGAGACCCTCGGAGGGTGGGAGTGCATGGAGGGAAGGACACAGGGAAGAGGTGACTACAGGAAGGAAGTGGGAGGGCAGCTGCTGCATTGTGGGAACTGCAGTCAATGTCATGAGACAAAATGGGTATGAACTGCTACATGGAAAATGAATTTGCTCTGTAAACTTTTACCCAAATCACAATAATTTTTTTAAAAAGTAAACGTCTGCCTTTTGTGGCTCAGCAACCCTTCCTGTGGAAGTCACTGTATGATCTGGGTCTCTCTGACGCTCAGTCTCCTCATCTGAGGGGGAGCTGAGAGCAGCCTCTGCCTTGGGGGCCGTGGTGAGGATGAAGGGAGTGCCCGCAGGACAGCAGGACTCAGGACACTTTCTGTGCAGGGCCAGAGAGTGAATGTCCCGGGCTCCGCAGGTGCCAGTCTCCGTAGGGACTACTCGCCTTTGCCGTGCAGCGCTGAGAGTGACAACTACCGGTTAAGCAATGGCTTTTTCAGGACAGACAGTGTTAAACAGATGGCTTGCTAAGAACAGCAGCCACCAGGCAACGTGTAAACAATGATGTACATGCATGGGCTGCCCACGGTTTCCAAACTACTGGAAACCTATCTGCTCAAGGACAAACGCATCTGTTTATGTCTCAACAGAAGACGCCTACGTGACGTGGATCTGTGGGCCAGGATCCAGAGACGTGTCCCTGCTGTATCACAAAGACAAGCAAGCGAAGGGGAAATGTTGTGTGAGGCTGTTTCAATCAGAGGACTTCTGAAGAGTCACTTTAGACAGAGAGAAAAAGGTTTAAAGGTGACGCAGCAAGCCAGGCGATGAGTGTAGTTACCACAAGGATGCACGCCTGACGCCAAGACACCACGCTGCCTGGTGCCAAGGTGTCTTCAGCAACCACAAGGGTCTCAATGGGGTAAAAGCAAATGTGCTCTGCCGCGAGGACAAAGCTCTGCCACATGCTGCGATGTGGACGGGCCACGAGAACGCGAGGCTCAGAGCACACCAGCCCCCTGACGAGGCACGCCCAGCCCAGGCAGGGCCAGAGGCGGGGTGGGCCAGGGGCTGCCGGGCGAGGACAGGGCAGCAACTGCCGCGGCGCCATTTTGGGGTGGTGGTCCCACAACTCAGTAAAATTTCTCTCAATAAGCTGCCACTGGGGACATCAAGCTCAATTGGCATAACATACTACACAAAACATTGTTCCACCTCCTACTTTGGCAAGTAGCGACTAGGATCTTAAAAGCTAACAAGCTGCCATCTAGATGCAGTGATGGGTCTCTCCTCGTCGAGAGCCAAGAAGAATGAAGAAAGCCAAAGATTCATGGAAATAATTAGTTCCAGCAACTGGTACACCATGTGATCCACAGCCTATACAACTATCAGACCAGAAGAACTAGATGGTGCCCACCCACCAATGTCAACCACTCAGAGGGGGATCTATGTAGGAGATCCTTGATAAGAGTGGGAAAACAATGTGGAACAAAACTCAGAATCATTTGGAAAAAAAAAGGAGACCAGGTTTGTTGGTCTGATAGAGCCTGGTGGAACCACTGAGCCTATGGCCCCTAGCTGCCCTTCAGGTCTGGAATTGAACCCACACCTGTGGCTTCCAGGCAAACAACAGACAGGCATAGGAGTTGAACATTTACCTGAGGTGGATACAGTCCTTGGAGAGAACAATCATGGGAGAAAGAAGGGCTGCTGATGCACAGGGAGACAGCTCAGGGGGCAGGAAGGCATGGAGGGACGGACACAGGGAAGAGGGGACTTCAGCAGGAAGTGGGAGGGGAGCTGTTGCTGTGAATTGTGGTCAATGTCATGAGACAAAGTGTATGTGAACCGCTGTATGGAAAGTGAATTTGCTCTGTAAACTTTCACCCAAATCACAATTAAAAAAAAAAAAAAAATCTTTGTAGAAAAAATAAATAAATAAATAAAGCTGCTACAGAAAAGATGAAAAATGGACCAAAAGGGATGCAACGTGGGGGCCATTCCCAGAGCCCACCATCTGGCACAAGCTAGCCCTGGGTGAACTGCAGCCACCCCCACCACGCCAGCGCACTTGGTGACAAGGGCTGTCCCTAGGCCTTGTGCTGGGAACTAGGAGAGACACACACAGGGAGGAAGTTTCTGCAGGATCAATCCAGGCAGGCCTCCTGGACAGCCAAATGGGGCTCAGGTAGAGACAAACAGAACATTCCAGAGCTAGCACAGCAGACAGACGCCCGGACAGAGGAAAGCCTTCGGAGAAGTGATCACTGCGGCCCGAGTCAGTCCGCCCACCCCTTTGCACCTGAGTCCTCACCATGATCCGACAGTAACACACAACAAGGAAAGGAACACACGGGCCGTGGAGTCAGAATGCACACTCAGGTGCCCCCTGACCCCGACCGCTCCCACCTCTAACTGTGATGCTGGACTGAATCATGGGTGCAGGGAGAGGAATTCTGGGATATTACTGGATCAAAGGGTAGGCCGGTTCCGAAGACAGCAGCCATCAGTGCAACTGGGCAGCTCAGTGAGACCAGCGGCCATCAGTTCAACGAGTGGCCCACTGACAACAGACGTGCACAATTTGCTCCCGGGGGGGACAACCCAGGGGTGAAAGATCAGGGGACGCCAGTGGTGGGAGAGGACACGGGTGGGCAGGTCCATCGCTCAGGCGGCCACTCACTTTTTCTACGTGCAAGGCCAGCTTCACTCCATTGTGCAGCCAGGACAGGGCCACGATGGGGTCCCCCTCCACCAGGCTGCCCACTGGGCTCTCCCAGCTATTGGCCAGGTGGTCCGCCATGCTCCAGCACTTGATCCGCCCATCAGCATCAGCCGAGAGGAGCCGGGAGCCTGCAGGGGACAATGACGTGTCACAAACCCCCCTAGTGGGCAGGGCCAAACTCTTGAGGGGTCTGGGAGGAGGGGACAGGTTTGGAAGGGGAAAGATGGTTGAGAAGCATGTCGGTGGAGGTCCTGTCCTGAGCAAAGGGCCAGCAGTCAGGCAGCGGGAAGTGTTCTAGGAACCCTAGGAACCGCCCCTGGACATAGCAGGAGATTTCGGCAGGAGGTCCAGGCCCCGCCCCTCACCTGACTGGTCCCACTCCAGGCAGGTGATGGCCTCTCCATGCTCCGAGTCGATGGAGTGCACATCCCAGGGGTGCTCCGTGTCCAGGATGTGGATCATGCGGGTCAGGTCTGTGGGATGGGGTGCTGTCAGCATGGCCCTGAGGGAGCACCCCGAAGACCCCAGGCAGGCTTGGCCAAACAGTGCACCACGGAGCCCGCTCCTGTGGAAGCCACAGAGCCGCCGCCAATGACGGTGAGGACGAGGACATGACAAGGTGCACATCCGGCCCGCCAGGAGCACAGAGTCCAGCACGGAACGCCCTGCAGTGTGATGACTGACACTCCCTCACAAAGGCCCAGAAAACAGAACGAGACAATGTGAACCTGAGATGCCGACAGCCGGCATCGTCCCGGAAGGCAACGGATGGCTCTTTTCCCTCGCTCTCATTTTCTGGGCGTCTCTAATTGTCTCTAATGAGCCTGTATTACGCAGACAATGGCAGACAGACAGGACTGGGTGCCGCGCACCGTAGGGGCTTTCAAAAGCCAGACAGTGACGTGAACGCTCAGAGACCAGATGGAAAGCACGGCGGGTAAGTTTCCAAATATGCTTCAGTGGCCTGCCACCCCCTGCCCCACTCAATCCCGGACCCGATGCCTTGTGGGCCCGGGTATGTGAGGGCCCCATGCTCAGCCCCTGCACCCCTGTGAGACTGGGGCTCCCAGTGCCCTGCAAGTTACGAGCCAGGAAACTGTGAACGGCTGGATGCCCAGGTCACCCACCGCGTGAGGGCGATGCGACACTGTAGGGCGGCCAGACGCACCTTGATCGTCATTCCGGAGGTCTGTGGTGAAGGCAATGAGGTTGCGGCAGGACCAGGCGCAGGCCAGGGGCACTGACGGGCAGTAGGTATTCTTGGGCCATTTCTCCCACTCACAGACATAAGCCAGATCCATCACGCCACCCACCACACACTGAACGTCACCAGCTCCTGAGGGGCAGAGGACATCGACATCTGCAGTGTACCCAGTGTCACACTGGATGCTGGACACACCTCACGGAATTAATAAAACAGAACAAGTCTCTGCCCTGAGGTCTAGTAGCAGGGGGAGCCTACAATTTTAAGTGGGGAGGCCTATCTGAGCACAGTTTAGAGGGAGGCTGGCAGACATCTGAGAGACAAGCAGACAGAAGAACAGCATGTGCAAAGGCCCTGAGGCAGGAGCAAGCCTAGTAAGTTTGGAAGCCTCTGTGTGGCTGGAGCGAGGAAGAAAGAAGAGAAAGACAGGGCAGCCACGGACAGGCCTTGCAGGACCCTGTGGGTGCGGGGAGAAGGTGGGCTTGGACTGGAGGGAGGTGGGAGCCCTGGAGGGCTGTGGCTATTTGCGTTTTAGTTGCCCCTAATAGCCTACCCGGGAGCTCTGGTGGTGTCCTGGGCATTCGACTACTAATCGGAAGGTTGGCGGTTCAAATCTAACAGCTTCTCTGGGGAAGGAAGACAGGGCTGTCTACTTCTGTAAACATTCACCTTCTCGGAAACCCAATGAGGGTTGCTATGAGTTGGAATCGACTGGAGGGTGGGAAGTTTGGTGGTTTTTTTGGCGGGAGCTGCCTACCTAGCCTGTTTTTGCTCCCCAGACCCCGCCCTCTGACCCCACAGGCCCTGCCCCTAGCAGCATTAGACTTTCAGTCATCGCCCTCATTCCCTCGACCCGCAAGGCCCTGACCCCCAGTTGGCCTCAGGCTCCATCCCAAATTTCCGTAACAATCTCTAAGGCCGCCCTAACGCGCTCCAAGAAGCCTACCCAACAAACCTTTGTTCCCAGGCCCTGCCTCCTATCCCGCAGGCCCCGCCCCCGGACCGCTGGCCCTTGAAGTCTCGCCTCCGGCCACCTCTACCAGTTCTAGGCCGCGCTTCCCGGAGCGATGGACACCGTCTGGACGCCAGACGCTTCCACCGGGTCCCAAAAGCCCCGCGCTCACCTGGCCGGCCCGTGCGCCAAGCCGATCGGGCGGCTGCGGCCCACACTTACACTAATTCTCCGGTTCCGGCGCCGCCATCTTCCCCAGAACCAACAAGTCACTTGCGCGGTGCCGCGACTTCCCAGAGACTTCTGGGATGGCTCCAACTCCGCCCCAGCTTTGTGTTAATTTGCATATGGAATCATCTCCCGGCAGCCACGGCAATTACATTTGGTAGAACAACAAGCACTTTCTCCACTCCAGTTAATATCTAAAAGTCTAAAAAGTTTAGTTATTACATCACGTGTTGTACTTATATTATACAAATAATTTGTTTAATTAAAAATTCAAAATAGCTCACCCTTAGTGTAAAGAAATAGCATTTGAGTGCTATAAATACCGAAATGGCCTGCCGTGACTTTGTGCTCGCTTCGGCAGCACATATACTAAAATTGGAACGATACAGAGAAGATTAGCATGGCCCCTGCGCAAGGATGACACGCAAATTCGTGAAGCGTTCCATATTTTGGTCCCCATTTCCAATCTTAAAATATAGGGAAAGGGCGGTCTCATACCTTGTACCATCCTGGGATCTGTAAGCTTCAAACCTGGTTTGTTTTCCAGGAGCTCATTCTATTATAACCAGACACTACCCCTCTTAAGGGAGCTCTGGTAGCATAGTGGCTGCACTTGACTGCTAACCAGAAGGCTGGCGGTTCAAACCCACCAGACACTCCTCGGAAGGAAGGTTGGGCAATCCTACTTCCGTAGTGATACTTCCTCGGAAACCCAAGGAGGGTTCGCTATGAGTCGGGGCCGGCTCGACGGCACATAACAACAACAACAACACCCCTCTTGAACAACCGCGGAAGATATTCCGAAATTGCAGGGAACTGTGCACCGTGCTGCGCTTAGTTCCAGGGCATAGACCCAGAGGCCTGGCGAGCCCGGATCCGGGGAAAAGGCTCACGCATTCCAGTGCAGCAAGAGCAGGTCTCGAACCCTCGTCAAAGTAGAAGCAGCCTGGGGTGGCGCTGTGGGGAGACTATATCACATCCCTTGTTGTTGTTGTTGTGTGCCATCGAGTCGGATCCGACTCATAGCGACCCCTCCTTGGGTTTCCGAAGCAGTATCACTACGGAAGTAGATTGCCCCATCTGCCTTTCGAGGAGTGGCTGGTGGATTTGAACCGCCAGCCTTCCGGTTAGCAGTCAAATGCCTTAGGCACTACGCCCGATCACATCCCTAGTTCACCTCAAATCCCTAGCCCATACCCTGATGCCCAAGGGAACGACTTGCCCTCTGGGAACGACTTTCCAGGTAATGCTGGAGTGCTGGTCACAAAGCATCTCTACCTGTTTGGAAACATCTGTCTCGAAAACGTTTTAAACTTAAATTAAACTGGAATCACGCATATCCGGTGCCCAGATCCTGGCTCCTAATATCGCACGTCAACAGACAGGCCGGAGAATGGCGAATCCTAGGACCGGGCAGGAACACAGGAAATGCCCGGTAAATCTCCCACACGATGATGGCGTTCTTGGAAAGCTCACGGAGGCAACCCGAAGAGCTCTCAAGAACCGAGCTGGGATAATTTGAACAACAAAATGAAGTGTATTGGATTGTCATCGAGAGTAGAAAGTAAATCTCCTTCAGTTTGCACAGTGATAGAAATGACTGGGTGGACCGGAGGGAGTGAAGGGCTGGGCCTGAGGGTTCAGGACCATGGTCCCAGGGGACATCAAGCTCATGCACAAAAACATTGTTCCACATCCTACTTTGGTGAGTAGTGACTGGGGTTTTAAAATCTTGCAAGCAGCCATCTAGATGCAATGATGAGTCCTTGTCCGGAACAAAGAAGAATGAAGGAAACCAAAGATTCATGGAAACATTGAGTCCAAGCAACTGGTACACCATGTGATCTTCAGCCTGTATGACTATGGGCCCAGAACTAGATGGTGCCCAGCTACCACTGTCAACCACTGGGAAAGGGACTGGTGCAGGAGATCCTGGATAGAGAGGGAGGACAATGTGCAACAACACTCACAGTCATAACAAAAGACAGAAAATGACCAGCCTTGCTGGTCTGATAGAGCCTGGTGAGACCCCTGAGGCCACGGCCCCTAGTTACCCTTCAGGTCTGCAACTGAACTCACTCCTGTGGCCTCCAGCCAAGCAACAGACAGGCATATGGGATGAACATTGACATCAGGTAGACACACTCCTTAGAACGACCAATTGATCAATCTTGGGAAAGCAGAAGGGCAGTGCTTGCACAGGGAGATAGCTTAGGGAGGTGGAGGGGCGGGAATGCATAGGAAAGAAAGACACAGGGAAGAGGTAACTGCAGGGAGGAAGTGAGAAGAGAGCTGTTACATTGTGGGGATTGCAGTCAGTGTCATGAGACAAAAT